TTTAATACATTTCATACATACTTTAAAGCTGATTCAGCGATTGTCGTATTAATTTTAAACGTACTTTAGATTGGCTTGATTTATTACTCGGAGTGATGTAGATAAAATTTGTCATATTGCAAAGCCTGATGGTAGTACACATTGTGTTGGAAAGCGGTAAATTTACATAAGTTTTTGAAAAGGCAGTTTACGTGTATTTGAATAGTTTCCGTTATACAAAAAATTAATTCCACTCGATTACAAAATTTAATTAATTTCATTCGCTTCAATTAAGTCAATTCTCTCCTTCAATAATAAATAATTCTTCTAAAATTGTAATGTATGAATAACTCTCCCATTTCATGCGATGAATCTTTAAATAAAGTAAAGTAATATCAATTATTCATTTGAGTAAATATAACTTCTAACACATCTTAACAAAGCATAATTGTTTTACTATATCCACTTATAAACGTTTCTGTATCATTCCGAATCATGAACCCCTTGACAATTAGCTAGGCATAACGAAAAAGGATCCTCCTTTTCATTTATCAGCTCGATGCAGTAAACTTCGTTAGTTATAAAATGTTTTTTTTTTTATAAATATGATTAAGCTTGTGCCCATAGAAGCTTTTTCAATAAGATATAGAAACAAAAAATAGTCAATACATAACAATGAAGAATAAATAAACTAAAAACAGTTTAAGAAATGCATGTTGACATATTATATACAGATGGGTTGTACCTAGATAACTACTTCAATCGGGTTTTCGACAATTACCTGGCATGTCTCGCAATTCCACGTAAAGAAAAAAGCTTTTTCAAAAGATCATCCGTTTTTGCGTAATGGATAATTAGAAAGAAGTATTTTTTTCCTTTGGCAAGGAACCTACCAAAGCTTCATATTTAGAAACAGAGGGCAACATTACAAATATTAATTAGAGAAAGTTAAATACTAGAACCATTAAAGCCATAATGTTGTATTCACAGTTGGAAACTTTTACTAGAAGTTTGTGGCTACAAATAGTTTTTATCTAAACTTAATACCCAGTGGTTTTAAGTTTAATAATTTACGACTTGCCGAATTTTCAAAGAATTTTCGTAAGATAAGCACTTCTTAGTGAGAATACATGTACCTATAACCGTTCGTGAAGTGTTGACTCAAAGTGAACTATTAGAAACAATGGCTAATAAAAGCTTAATGGTCATTAACTTGATATATCATCATGACGAAGCAAGAATCGGGACGTTACCTTTTTGTATATTTTTCTTGTATTGATTATTACTTAAATGTAGTTCTTATATATATAATTATCCCCACGCACACAATCTTAGTGATTATATTACACAATAGGTTGAGTTGACAGAAAAAGAGGAAGAAATAAAATTTTTATCGAGCTTTTCGCTTTCTATCAAATTTCTTAACATAAGAGTATGTTAAGAAATTTGATTGTTTAAAAAGTAGGATAATTTAAAACAGTCATGAAATTTGTAGTTTTACGTACGTCTTTGGGTCGTCTTGAACGTATATTTCAAGACTGTCATCTCTTACATAGTAGGCAGAGATACTTAAATATAGTGTTATTAATTTTTTGCAAAATTTCATCAGTTTTCACTGATGTTTAAAAATGTTCTTAGCATCGTGTGCATACGTTCCTCTGCGCTGTCGTGAAAGGGATGTGAGATGTGATGTGTGGGAAAATATGCAGCAGCACTATAACTAATGTTGATAATTGTGTCACGTAAAAGTTAAATTACTGCCTTATTACTTCCCGTCGCATCGCCAGCTAGATGTCACCACGTTTTATCGTTTCTATTCTAATTAAACTAAGCTCTTAAGTTTAGTATCGAAACATCATTTACTACCCCTCATCTTAATCATTATAGTTACTACCTAGATGAATGCTGTCAGATTTAACTTATGCAAAACACTCAGCTGAAGCTAATTTCGATAAACAGTACATATAAAGTCGTACGGCAAACATAAACACAAACTCTAACAGGCGACGTCGAGTAACGGAGATGATTCTTACATTAATTCGTATTAGGCAGTCGGTGATTCGCGTTACGATGTGTGCCGTGTAAAAATAGCACGTACGTAACCCTGAGTAACTACAGATTGTCTGCGTAGAGAACAAGTCCGCGTCCTTTTAAGTTTATGTCAATAGGCGTGAGCGCAGGACACGATGGGGCGCGGTTCACGACAAAGTTCGGCGAATATGGCTTAAGCGTGACGTATTCAGTGACGTATGGTTGTTAGGAGTAAACTCAAAGTCCGCTTAGCAGGACCTGTTTTCTATCCGATTGACGACCGTTTCTGTGGAATTTAGCGCCGAACAACAGAATGTCTTATCTCACGTGCGCAAACGCTACATAGTATTTGCAGCTCATGGGTGATCGCTGTCTATTGAGGTCTACAAATCGGGTTACTGAGTGCGGGTCGGTGTTTCGAATCCTAGATTATTTTGGTTGCGTAATACATACAACTATGATGAGGGTCTATCCGATTCCAATATTTTAGGGGCTGCTTTACCACGCTTCTAGACTAGGTTATTTACATGGATTATTCAAGAGAAATAACAGAGGAATATGACGACGAAAGATGCAATCAAAACACAAGTAGAAAATTCAACACAAAAATATTTGAAAGTTTTCTTACATATAATACGATATATAATATTACAACATATAATCTCATACTTTAAATCCCGTCAATGTCAATTTACAGAATCAAAAAACTGACTTTATTGAATCAATTGAAGAGCAATTTATCATTAGCTATGATTTTTTTTCTATTTATAAATCCTCACACAACTCATATTTAAATAAAAACAGCCAACGCAATATACTGCATTTATAAGATTCATAACTCATCTCGTAAATTATTAATTCCAAAAAAGGGAAAAATTAAAAGGTTACTCGGATACTGGCGGTTGAGTGTTGCTATAAAAAAACATTCTTCCGCGCCAGCAGACAGCGCGACGACGAGTAGGCCCGCTATCAATTACCCTGCCCCTTATTACGGGCTAAGCAATTTTATCGTCACTATCAACAGGAAACCCAGCGCTGATACAGCCGCAGGTGTCGCACTATGGCACCACACCGCTTCACAGAACTGACGTGACGCAATTAGCCATCCGGCCGTGTTCCGAATCACGTATAGTTCAAACAAACCTAGCGAGACGCTCCCATCCCACGTGGCCCGTTCGAAACCCGAAGATTCTATCAGCGTACTGCCGCTTCAGCGCCGATTGGAAACAGCCCCTCGGTACTCTGTGACGTGACTTCCCTGAACGATCGGCGAGGGCAATAAAAAAAAAATTACATGCCTTTATTTTACTCGAGCCCGTAAGTTCGGCGAGTCTCTTTGTTAGAAATCTTATAAGATAATTGTGACCCACTTCCACGTGTGCGGGTAGCCTTGAAAACATGTACTTGTGCGTAGTTTCGATATCATTACTTCAAAGATGGATGTGTTTCACAGATTGCTTATTTAACTTGTTAGTTTCATTTTTGCCCATGAATTTCGAAACAAATTTCGTAATCTTCAGTTTTGTATATTATCATATCTTCACCATCTATCCAATACATATTTTATGTTTGATGTCAATGGAGCTATATTATACACTTAATAGTTTTTCTAGTTGAAACATTTTAAATTGTTTGCATTTAAGCATATTAGCCTGTTGCATTAAAATAAATGTAACATTACTTGGCCATAGAACTTGACCTATACAATTGTATTGAAAATTGGCACCAAGTTAACATTACTGTGATGAGTATTAAAAACAATTAAATTGTAAAATATTACAACGGTTGTGCATGTTTTATGATCGCGTTATCTCTAGTTAAAGAAATGTGATTGACTATTCACACATTAACAATTTAAACATCACAGACACCGGCGCAGGTATGAGTGTTATCATGATAATTCGAAATGCTGTTATCTTAATCAACTTCATTAGGTTCATTCCCGGCTTTCCTATTCTATAAGCGGTATTTTACCGAATCTCTCTTGGCCGACTATTATCGTATCAAAGCCACAAATCCGCAATTAAGCTTCGTCTAATAACTTTGACAGGGACTTTACAAAATAATAATTAATCTTCGAAAATATAATCATCATTGTCAAAGAAAGGAATCTTTACTTTTTTCTTATTTCACGTCATATCTCATTTGATGTATATATTTTTGTTAACCAAAACGTCCTTTGATTTGATGCTAGCGGCTGATGCCTACTGGTCTGAGAGCCGCAAGCGATAAAGTCTATATTTAGCCATTCAGATCATATTCTTAATTAATGGTGAAATTCAATAAGGATCACACACATACACACATCCGTGTAATATCTGAGTCAACTGAAATCTTCAATGACTAACTGTTTTAGTTACGCGCTAAAGACGTGAGTCAATCTGAAATAAAATTACTCCCTGAAGAATTTTTACTGAAGTCGAGCGACACGTCCATGGCCTTGAGAACTATAATATTTACTGAAGCAACAAAACTTCGTGAAACGTTCCAAATATGAAATGATCACCCAATGATGTTTCAATAATACTTTCAATAATATCATAAATTACAATTAAGGATTTGAAAATGGTCACTTTTTATTGCTATTCGATGTTATTCTTTACTAAGAAAGGAAAAGCGCACAAGCATATAAGAATTCCACGCACTAGATTCTATAGTTCAGAAATGTGGATGAGGAATTTGAGACGATGCCAGAATAACTTCTGGCATGCATTGGCGCCACTAAATCAAAACTTTATATCATATATGTAAGTAAATGAACAAAATTATAACTCAAATATTGAGAAAATCATTGAGAAAACTCACCTATTGAGAAAATATGTTTTTTTGTTCATAAGATGATTTACTTTTTTAAGGAAATTATTATAAACCTATTCGTAAAAAGTGTAATCTTCCAGTTAAAAAGTCCCTTATAAATAAATGTTTCCCTATATGAAAGCGTACTAATATATGACAGAAAAATAGCTCATCATGGTACACTGCTCCGAATAATGAAGTATCCTGCCTATTTAAAGTTCCAGAATGAGACCCTTTTGGTCTGTTATTGAAATTCAGTTTAGTTAACCATTTGCTATACACTAAAGGTACAAATGGTCCAATCGAAAAAGCTCGCCTAAATATGAAGTCATCGGCATTCAATATTAATCATAGGACAAGACAGAAATATCTCCGATGGAAGCGTGCAATCGGATAACGGATGCGGGGACACTCGTGAATTCCCCAACGGGCTCGCCGATCGATGACTTGAACGGCTGACTCAAAATCGAAAAACTCCCTACCCGGACACTCCGGTACGCGGCCGGAGGTCCGTTGTGAAAGTCGCGGAATCCGCAACCCCTATCTACCCGAGAGGTCCCGTTTACATAGCCCTGGTGGGACGGGGTCTCGGCCCGCCCTCCGCCCACCATTGGCCCGCCGCCGCGCCGCCACCGGGGACCCCACCGGCCATTCGTTAGCCGTCGCCCCACTGCCTCCACCACGTGCTCCGTGCACACTAGGCTTTATTTCACGCGCCGTCACACCAATCCATTTAGTCGCTCACCCGACACGACGCGCGCGGCACCACTGTCATTTGGGGGATGTCGATTGCGATCGATTGCGATGGATTACTGCACTAGTATACCGGCCATCGCGCTGTTCCGACCCGCCGGCACCGTGATCGTGAGACTGAGGACGGAGACGGACCACTGCTGCAGGGCCAAGGCTTGCGCCGCACCGGAGTACGGCCGAGTGGTCCACAGACCGTCGTCAGCCTGTGAGCAATGCGACAGGACTAGATTAGTTAGCAATTATAGTGACTGTGATAGTGAACTAGTGGAAAGATGTCGACCTTACAGAACGGGCACGGCCAGAAGCAGTAAGCGATTTTTACACTTTATAATGAACTTTTTTTTTTTTTTTAATTTTTTTTTAATTCCATTACATTATGTCCTTGACACTGAAGTACTAATTAAAAAAAATGAATCGTATTCTGAAAACAAAATTAAATCAATTTTACTATTATGATTTCCTTGTTCCAAACAACTCGTATTCTCGTTAGATATGACTTGATATAACAAAGATAACATGTTAAATTCGCAATACTTAGTGACTTGGGGTCTGTTAAAAATCGCTGATAATTATTCACTTTTATATTAATACAGTAGGAATTAATACCTAATGAAACTCCTTAATATCTTATTGTAATAACAAAGTAAAGATATAATAATCGACTAAAAACAATAGCAAACTCATGGGACTAAATGCCACCTTGTCAATTGTGTTGTACCTATCATCGGTTAGCGGCCATGCTTACAATATACATGCGAATAAAAAACCTGGCTCGGTATCGCCTCGACAATGTTAAACACGGTGATAAACCAACAAACTGGGGCTTAAACTGCAATTAAGCTTACGGTTACCGGGGTGACATGTCTGACTAAATGTTCCTATCCTTAATAGTATTACAGTTATGTCGCTGGGAGGGAACTATTTCGTAATTAGTTGGAAAGATCGATACAGCTCGCCGCGAGAACGAAATATCTTTAGTGTCACGGCAATTATAACTAAACTGTTATATTTCTTTTATAGAAGTGCATATAAATTCTCTGAGGGGAAACAGGTTTCGATTAATGACATCTATCTTGTAATGAACTCCTCGAATAAGAATAGAATTAAACCATTGAAAACAGTAGAAAACCGTCTTAATCTCTGGCCACCACCTGGGCATATTGTCGCTGTAAATTAATATCTTGTTAAAGTTTCAGCCAATTCATGACAATGCCAATGCAATTGTTTTCAATAACAATCTTTCAAAGTTTTACGAAACCGTACGGAGCTTTTCACATAGTCTGGAATTTGCGTCATCACATATTCCTTCTTTAATTTCGAAGAAATTAGCAAATAAAATTAAAATTATTTTACTTCTTACTGTATCATTATTATTTTTCAGATATTGGCCAACAAGAAATTAATGAGAAAAAATAGAATGTATATGCAATAATTACCGTGTTCATAAGTCAATAGAGCTATTGTTGCTAAATGATTCGTTTGCTTTATCATGCAATTTAAAACAATATATCTAATTACTTGTAGTTAAAATTTTTAACGCTCGATTCATTGTAATGCACCGTCTCATTAGCTGACTGCCGTTCATCATTACTGCGGCTGTAAATGCGTCTATTTAGTGTACCTTATGAAGGGAAACATTGCTACAAAAGGCTGGATTAATGCTAATTCATATGTATTATTTATTAATTATTCCACCCGGGCTAATAGTGGGACTATCGAATAACAATTACATTGTACAATAGAAAAAAGTCTAACGTAACTAACTAAAGTAAGCAATCTCACTCCGACTGAATTTTCCCGGAAGTCACCAATTAACTTTTGCTTCTGAGCCCCGCAGTGACGGCACGTTTTAATGATATCAAATCCACGCGATCAGTGAAATATTCCATAGTCCGTAGGCCCTCGAAAAACCCACTCCGGTTCCGCCAAAGGTAAAAACACCGCCTCTAGGTGCAGCCCCGCGGTTAGGTATTGCATACAGCCACCGCGTAAGGTCATACGTGAAATGAGTGTATAATCTCGCAACGGATAACGATCGCCAATTAATCCCCATTATCAGATATATGAATGAATCTGTTCTAAATGTTACAATCTAATCTTAGCAGACAATGATTCAGGAAAACGCTGATACGAATGCCAATAAATAGCTTTAGTCTTGATTAGCTTCAATGTTAGTAGCATTTTCCGGTCAATAATAATAACATAACTATTTTAAACTATCGACGCGCCCCAGCTTCGCACGCATGCAATGTATTATACATAATATAAACCTTCCCCTTGAATCACTATATCTAGTAAAAAAAATCGCATCAAGATCCATTTCGTAGTTTTAAAGATCTAAGCATACATAGGGACAAAAAAACAGCGGGACAACTTTGTTTTATACAATGTTTTAAATAATTAACGGTGATGTTAAAAATAAAAAAAATGATGAGCACAATGTAAATCATCAAATAACAACTATCAACGAATACGTATTCAGTCAAAATTTTTGAACATTTCAATACCTAGTTAATAAAGGCGGTGTTTTTCAGTGTCATTTAACTTTTATTTCTAGTGATAAATATAACATGTATCCATCACCGCCAGTCGTCTTCTACAGTAAACTATTAACATTGAAACATGAGAGCTCATATTATTCGGTGCGGCATGTCCACAGGGCTCTCGGGCTATATGAGCGTTGTTAGAGCCGCGGTCCGCGCGTTCATTAGCGACGTTTTCACATAGCGAGATGTTCGCCCGCGGCGACGTACAGCGGGATCAATTATAAACAGTTAATTCGACGAGACCACGGGCCGTCGTAATTACAACGAGGGTGGAAACGTCGATTCAATGTTCGTAACGCCATGCGAGTTTCGCTTTACCGTTCCGCTTTATCGGACCGCCATCGCGCCCCCAAATCTCGCTGAAACGTAATTGCTATAAGCACGTAATGTCAGTTGTTATCTCGTTAAATTTAATTCAAGGGAAATTTGCGCGCGCCCGTTTCGATAATTTCAAAACGGAGTCGGCGGCCGATGCGTTGATTTGATGTCGGAGTTTGGTGCGACTTTCGTCTGACGATGAACTCGCTGACGTGGCTTCCACGGTACCAGTGACTGCGAGCTCTCGCAAGCGAGAATCACCCTTATTATGCTCGCTGAGTCTACGAGTTTGTTAGCCGATACCGAAATATTAATGTAACAGATCAATGTAAATTTTTGTTATAACTAAATGTCCTACTTCTGTAACTATAATATCTGTTTTGCCGTTCGATGGCTCAGAACATTAATTATCGTCAATACTGCACAGTGTTCGGTTAAGATCGATCCGAAGAGCGGACACGGTTAATTCTAAAACTCTCGACCCGTACACATTCACGATTTGCATAATGATTGTGCAGGCGCCGACCGCGTCGACGCACCGTGCCGCGCGAACTTTTCTCGGTTTTCGAGCCGAAATTCTAGTTAGCGGCCGTGCGATTTCTTTTTAAAAAGGTTAACAAGGTCCCCTCTCGTTTGGGTTGTTTTTCGTGGCGCGCAGCCTCCTTTTGTGTACGGGCGAGCTGTTAAAAAATAAACGAATTCTTTGTTTCTCGGGTAGTCGGGCCGACCTCCGACGCGGTCCCTTACTTTTTTATGCATCTTATAACCTGTGTATTACCTACGTGTAGGTATCTACGGTTTTTATGGTCGCTCGGTCAGATCTTCAATGGGCTAAGGAATTCGATCGAGTCTCCACTTTGTCCGTATTATAGTTTTTGTCACGATTGTAATTACCGATCTTTTATGTACGACGCTTTATGAAACTGAGAGTCGGGTATTTGATTATAAATTAGTTTCGGACCCATTAAACTGAATTAATGCGACATTTTTGCCGACACGGTATTTGTTTATATGGCGCGGTCGTCGGCACTTAAAATATGAGACCCCTTTTTCACTCGATTCGATTTTTAATGAAAACAAACGAACGTTCCGTTGACAGTAAACTCGCGTTTTCTGTGATATTGTGAAAATGTTACGTGTCCCACGATGGCTCTACGGCTTTTTACGAGCTGACCTGTTATTTTTTTTTAGTTGAACTTTTGACGGCGGTCCCGCGGTTGCTTGCTTTTGACCGGCGCACTAATAAAATGTTATGATCGTGTGTTTAACGCGTGTTGTGTGTCGGGCCTTCCTTTAGACATGATCGTTATTGCCCGGCACCGCCTTTGCGGTCGCCTTTTGTGTTCCAACTGTAACAACGTTGTTATTGTGTCAATTAAACGATACAGCCCCTACGACTAAATCACGTCTTGTTAAATCGACTCGCCGCTGCCTGCTCGATGTTGGCCGTGGCCCGTTTGTGCGAATGTTTGTGGCGTCCGGCGGTGTGGGCGAGAGGGACGATATCGGCGTCCCCCTCCGGCGTCATTGAGGGGCGTGAGATAATAGGGTTCCGTTCACTGGCCTTAGTTAAATAATAAGCGGCACGGAGCCCTATAACTATATTGCTTTTTATTTGAGGCGGCGCTGCGCCCCGGGGCTGGGGAGCGAAATCACCGCGAAACGGGCTAACGAGAGTTAACAGGAAAAAAAACGCACGAGCACAATTTTCGTACGGCGGGCGCAACAGGTTTCGGGTCGTAAACGCTGCGAGATACTTAGGCGCGCCGCGAAAATCTCGATTACCGTACACTCCCCGAATAAACAGCGATTACGCGACGAGGCATATTCAAGGATGCTGCCAATGTGAAATGGCCGCAACGCTCTACCAACGTCACGACAAAACCGTGCAAAATTTTGCAATGTTACTCATCCACGCACCAGACACAACACAGGTGATTCATGCACGCATTAACTCAAAACCTGAATCGGTGGATTCGTTTGTAATATCGCACCATCGGAAAAGTCGTTTATCTAATAGATCCATGTTAGTCAGTTAATTACGGTAGGAAGTAAGGTCAGTTACGTTTCCACGCGAGTGACGTCAACGCGCCGTATTACCTTACAGGATAGACGTTTATGCGCCCACTTTCCCATAATTATTTCTTCCTTTACGCCGCAAGCGAATAGCGAACATTTTTCACTTGAAAAACAACTTCAAAGTATTTATCAATAGCTTACATGCGTTAAGATGATACGCACGACTATGCAATAAATAAATCTAATAGATGTGTCTTACGTCATCAGTGTAAGACGGCGTCTAGCATTTCTTTTTTTTTTAAATATTAGAGGTAACAAGTACATACATATTGTTAAAAAAAGTTATACTGACATTTAAAAACCCTAGTTAAAGGAAGACTAACATCCAGGTGCTGACCATAATGCAAACACTTTTCCCTGATGGGAATCGAAGCCACATCAATAAAGTTGTTCTATTTCGAATTCTAATGTTGAAGTTTTAATATTATCTCGCTTCTCACAAAAAGCGAATCTAATATCAGTTTATTGCTAATCGATGTCTAATCTCGAATCGTCATCATAATAAGACCGCATGATGCCAGTCTTTTTAGAACCACGTCGACTACAAATACGCTATGCGCAACTGCTATAGGGCGCCCCGTTTGCTATGAGATTCGATATCGCGCCCGACATCGGAAGAATGTAGGGCGTCCGCCGCCGAAGCGGGCCGCATTAGTGATTCACCCAGGTTCACCGGACAATTAGCAAAGGCTGTCCACCTCTGGGGCGCGATGTTTTTATTCATCGGATGTCCAGCGATTACCATAATCGATGGCATCGCGCGCCTCGCATACGGAACGCCCCACCGCCGTTCTCATTGAGGAGATGCAGCGCGGAGCGAGCCCTTGCGTTCGTGGCCGTGCTATATCGCTAGCGTGATTCGGAATAGGTCCCCACGCTTAATACTCAAAGCCCGAAGAGCTAACACCACTTCGCTCTTTATCGAGAGCCGAACACGGAATAGACCACCAGTATGCTCAATCCTCCCAATCTTTTCACGACACTCTATATTCCAAGTCGGAGACGAAAAATCCCATCATACGATATATCGCAAGTCTGAAATGGAATAGACCCCCTTAACACTTAATCCGCTCCGTGTACAGTTATTACGGCCGAACGGCACGACCAAAATTATCCAGACATTTGGCCAGTAAATCGCTTTTATTCTTTTTAAGTGCACTATTAAAACTACTACGTGTAGCAAGTATTATGAGAACGGCATGTAATGCTTTTTGAGACGCTGGGAAAAAAGTTTTGAGGAAACACATCGAAAACGACATAATCACGCGAAGCACAAAAACCAATATTTTAAAATAGTCCTGATATACATATTCCGTGTCGTCACAAGGATACAGTTTTGTATCCTTGCTGTCTCAAAATTTAGGAGCATCTAAAGGGCAGGAGCATCTAAATTTCTAATTCTGTGGGACTTGCCCACCGTTACGCAACGGTCTTTTATAGACTGCAAATAGAATTCGCATATCTGAATTATAGGTCTGCGATAGGATAAATCAGTTTCCACATTCTTTTCAAAAAGACACACGGCGTTCAAGTAAGACTGAGCTGACCGTTTAAACCGACTCTGTCTCTCAAGTCCATTCTTTTCCTACAGGATACCTCTGAGAGGCGTGCGTTTAAACTGACTCCGTATTCCAAGCCTTTTCTTCTAGGATACTTCGGTTTGCACCGCATATCATCTTCATAACCGCACACAGCCTAATTTCTTCTAACTGCGCACAGCTTGCTAAATGGAAAGCACTCAGTTTAAACCGAATCCGTACACCAAGTTTGTTGTTTTCCTCCAGTGTGCGTTCTTCTCATAGCAGCGCACGGACTGCAACCGTCAGGGGCGCGCTGAGCGGTTGAAGTTACTCTGTTTCTGAAGTGCACTATTCCCGCAGGATACGTCAACGTTTGCGCGGCCGTCTGCCTACTGCTGCTTGTGGGCGGTCTGTCGCCCCGGTGCACCGCCGCGCCGCGCAGGAGCCGCGGCATGGAGCGACAGAGGCGCGCCACCGACTCCACGCCGGAGAACCGCCTCTGGGCCAACCCCTGCGACTACAACAACTCCAATGTAAGCCGCAACTACTCCCCGCATTCTACTAATTGAGAACCGTGCCTGCACCTTGCACCTTGCCACATTTGCCTGATGAATTAATCAATTAATTAATTATGCTTTATTGTACCAGAAAAAATTACAAAAGTAACAAAAAGAGTGAGTGATGACCACCATCTATGGAGGCCTGCAACGCCCGTAGGTGACGCGTTGCCGCCTTTTAATAAAGTAGTCCCGGTATCGGACCTCGCCAGACCTCATCAGGCGGAACGCGGAAGTATAACACTTCATTCACGCCGGTCTTCTGCGGTCGTGGTATTTCCCAGGACCAGCACTGATTTCGTTTCATTGAAACAGCAAAGGCTGATGAGTGACATTACCACGGAATCCACATCGTCAATGATCTTTTCATTTTAAAAATTCAATAAAAAACTTTTTTTAAGGAGTCAACGAAAACCTTTTTGATATTAGTTTTAATGAATACCGTTTATTTTCCTTTCAGTCAAAATCAGCAGTAAAATACTCGCCGAAACTTGCTAAGGACGTGGCTTCGCAAGCGAGGAACGCGCTCAAATCGACTGCGCAGTACAAAGACAAATTCGTAAGTCACACTAAAGATATTCTATTATAACAGCAGCGGTCGAGTGGAATCTTTCTTCGCTTTCATTGACGAGACAATCGCGACGTAGTATTCGCTCGCATCGTTATGCCCGCCGCGTCGCTCTAAATGAACGGACGCTGCCAGCGGCCGGCCGATGCCGATAAAACTTTAGACCAACGACATCGATGCATACCTTTAGGGTTTAATGCGATTTTATCGTTTCGTGAATGAAAGTTTATAGACTGTGTCGACGGCGCGTTGTTTGGCCAAAGCGACGGCGTTTAGATCGTTGCGCTTTTTGCCTTTTAGGTCGACGCCGCGGTTTCCCGCGAAATTTCGTCCATTAACGATTCCCCGCGTGCGCGCCCTTAGCGCCGTTTTCTCACCGCGCCGCTTCGGGCGTTGCGCAGAGATTGCATCGGCCCGGGCGCCGACGGCTCCGCTGCCCAACGTCCGGTCGCGGCTTCCTCCCTTTTAATTATAATTTCGCTCTGCGCTTGCGTGACGCCATCGGTGCTTCGGCAGCGTTACCGTCGAAATCGACCGCGCAACGCGCTATTACGCTTATGATACCTCGAGCATCGCGTTGTACCGCAAACTCGTCTATGTCTCCTCGTCTAACCTTGGCCCGTGTATTCATCAGATCGATCGCGGCCGTTGGAAAAAATCGTAATAAAACTCCGAGCTTCCAGTCATGAGAATATAATATTTCCGAATCGGAAGTAAGGTGGCCCGATCAACGGGCAATAATGCGATGTCGCCGTCGCGCCTCAAATCATTTATGGATGACCGCTCACCACTGTACTTAAGTGTCGCATCGTGAATAAGGGGGACGGGCGCGCGAGCGCGTACATTTCGGGCGCGGAGTGCGACGTTAGGAAGCCGCGCCGTGGCGGCGCTTCGATGGAAGTGGTACTGCGGGCGCGCGCCGTCGGAATTCGTTCAACGGCGTGTTGCGGTGTCGGCGCATGAGGTATGGTGGCATTTGTAATAGGCTCGGCGGTCGTAACGACGGCGACGTCCTGTCCGCTCGCCGCTGCCTCCTCGTCGTAAAATGACATTATCGACGCACAGTAGCCGGAACGGTGTACAGGACGGTGCGCGTACGCATCGAATACTGATTGCGCATTAGTATTGCGCTACGCACCTGCCCGACGATTTTTTTCTTCTGTCCTCCCCTCTTAATGTCGGTCATTCGATACTAATGCATCATATTTATTGCTATTCGGAAGGAGCTCGCTCGCAGCCGATGAACCGCCATTGTGACACTGACGGGCTGATCGCCAAGGACGTTCGGCTTCTGATGCGAACCAACCAATCCCGCATACTATTGCGTTCCGTCTCGCAACGGAATAACAAAGAGAACGCTTTTATGGCGGATGCAAGAAAGCGCGCTGACATATAAAAAGCCGAGCTCCAAACTGCCCGAGCCATATCTCGCGTCAGCCCATTCCTTTATAATAACTGGCCGCGGCTACCGAGAACGCAATAACAAATTCAACGAACCCTACCGGTACCGGCCACCGTGTGAATGCGCGGCTCGCAGCGGCCGGTGTCAAAATATTATCGCGTCACATTTTGAGTTTGGAATTGCCCTGATATCCATCACGTGAGCGCCGCTTTGGGGAAATGGAGGAGTGACGCCCCGAGCCGCCGGCTAAGGGCGAGGTTCGCGCGACAGAGCGGCCGCATCGCTTATCGCATCATAGTCACTGGATATATAAACGTTGAATTATACGGTGCCTATAATATGTACATACTTAGCGATAGCGTTGTTCACACGGGCGACAGGCTGTCTGCGCGCTTGGGTGCCGGTGTGCACGTGTGCCGTAAATACAACACGCCGCGCGTCGGTGTGGGTGCGTGTTTGTTTGATAAGCTTCCGATGTTTGGAGCTAGGTATCCGGATGCGATGTCATCGAATTTCTTAGATCACGGCCACCCACGGCACGTCCGAATGCAGAATGTGCGGTTTTGCTTTCGTCCACCGCTTGCTGGGCGAAATTACAGCGGTAATTCCCCTCGGAGATGTAAGAACTTGGCAATCGATTCGGATCGAAGTGAATTCTTGTTATTTTTTTGTAAAAGTAAAATCCTCGTAAGCCAGCAACAAGAAGGCGAGTTAATGATGTTGTACGATAATTTAAATATCGAAAGCGTTCTTTTATCGTTGTGTTTTGTTATATCGGAACGTTAAAAAGAAAAAAAAAGACGAAGTGTTCTGCGAAGACAAATCATTCAATGGACGACTCTTGTTATTGATCGTTATGTTTTAGTCACAATAATTAACCGTTAATAGAATTAATAAGCCATCTTCGATGCGAGCAAATAGATAACGTTTCGGATATGGTGTCATGGACCGGACGAACACCTGTGTATTTTTCACGTGGGCTACTAATGAGTTACGTATCGCATAGCGTCTCAAAATATAAACGATCGACATTGGTGTTATAATTAATTTATTATCTGGGAGCTTCGCGTTTACTTACGTTAATTGTGTATTTTTCCGATATAAAACGTAATTGGAACAGAGATATTTATAAGAATTTTTATCAAAAATTTACTGGGTATTTTTTTTTTTAAATGTGAAAAGTTGTCAAGCGAGCAGACGGTTCACCTGATGTTAAGTAAATACCGCCGCCCATGGACATTTGCTACACCCTAGGGTTCCAGATGCGTTGACAACCTTTTGAAAATTGGACTCCGGCCACCACACTCACCAGACGAAACGCGAAAGTATTGTACTTCCACTTTACGCCGGTCTTCTGTGAGGTCGTGGTACTTACCCGGACGAGCCTGCCCATTCGTGCTATATTCTATACATTTCTATTTCTATTTCTATACATTACTGGGTAATGTATAGAAACGTGGAAACTATTTGTTAGACATTAATGCCTATTTAATATTAAATATTTTAGGGCTTGAATTTGTAGAAAAGAATTAAAAAAGTTCTTCCCTCCGACAGCCGAAACTCTGGGGTATACAAAATTACTTTAAACGTTATCAAAGTCATATATCAACAATTACAAAAGCCTCTAATTTCACGGGTTTTTGCAATGCATTCAAACGAACTTTACCAATAGGCTCCCTTATCGTTCCCCATTTCGTCGATGTCTCAACGAGCAGTCAATTGTTTGACAATGTTTGGACATAAATTTCGGCCGGGTCACGAACGCAGCGCCGATGCGCAGATAACGGCGTTTCACAATGATTCGATTTTCGGCGGTTCGTCACGAATGCTGCTCCAGCTTAATTAGTCGCATTGTTATGTCACGGCGGCTACCGTAGCCTCCGCCGGCGCGAATGGGTCGGACGGTTCTAAGCCCGCATCTGCCGCCGTCCGACGTTCTTAACCCTCGACCTCGTCGACCTAATCGCCGGGCGCTAGAGTCCATTTTCGAACGTGCTGCACCGGTCACGTATGGCCCGGGCGCAGTGTCAAATTTTAATGTCGAAATTGTTTGTTACGTGACATGTCCGCGGCGGCGGTCGCGCCTCCGGTTTCGATCTCATCTTTCGCGCGGCCTTGGCGGGCCCGTGAAAACGTTCGCCGATCGTGTGCCGATAAAATCGACCCACCACCGACACAAATCAACGTTTGTGCCACGAACAAATTTCGATCTCATACCGCTATGTCCCAGTCGCAATTATCTAAAGGTTTGCGTAGTCTTTAAGGCTGCGCAAGGCTTTGGATTTGGAACGGCATGTTATTTATTTTCAAACGCGACTATCAGTCGGAGAAAAAGAGTAAGAAATTGACTTTTATAAGTCAGATGTTAGAAAAATTTAATCTTCCTCGGTACAATTCTAAAATTAGAATTCGCCTTCAAATTGCAAGTCAGTCGTCCGACAATAGATATAGGCTAAAACTGAAACATTATGAATAAAATTTAATGAGCAGTAGGCACAGTCTGCCGGCCTGAAGAAATCTCGTCCTACCACTGAAGAGATCCCGTCACATTCTTTATTTATACCTGTCCGTTTATAGAAAACTGCTAGTACCGAGTACAATCTCATCTTCCGTTCAATCGCCTCCTTCTATGAAAGCCAATCGACGCGTCACACTAACTAGATCTATTTTCTTCATTCGGAGAAATCAACGGTACTTAGATGTGACAACACTGATTCATACCTAAACACACACGTCATATTATGGAATCGAAGAGCACAAGTCTTATTTTTACAAACGGTACATTAGAGCATAACAAGCTCTTATGTACCGTTTGTTTTTTCTCCTGTGAACGATTATTACCTCTAATATTCTAAGTTCCTTTCTTATCCCGAAGGGATCTTAAGTACCTAATTTATGATATAATACGTTAACATGCTTTGTATCTTCTTCTATTGTGCCTATTCATATTAATTGAATCGTTTTGCTAACCAATATTATATTACGAGAAATGCATAAATAATAGCCGTAAAAGTTCAATTTCTTACAAAATCTTGTGGTTCATAATTTTATCTCAATTGTTTGCAGGCGTTAAAATTGCACAGTTACCCGAGTTTTGACGAGTTGCTGCAAGCTTGGACCGGGTACGATTGGCTACGGAAATTCCCCTGGTTCCGCGAGGAAGTGCTACCTAAGGAGAAAGTCCTTAACCAGCAAATGGCCGACGAGTACATGAACCTGTTAATGGTGAGTTTTTACTTGTGTTTTTGTTATATTACCGTCACTAAATCGATATAATCGTTGACTCATTTGCGTAACTCTCTAATTAAATCTACAATCGTTTGAAAAAAGTTTTTAACTGAACTGTGTTGTATATATGTGAACGTGTTAAGATCAAATAGAGCATTCAACATTCGATTTAACGTTGCTCCTTCATTAGCCGAACAGCGACGAATTTGCTGATGCCAAAACTTGCATCCTCGTTCGTTTTTCAATCGATTTCAAAGAATCGACATCGTCGGTGGCACTCATTGTTGTCAGCCGACAGTATTTTGCGTGAGAACACAATGGTTTTGCAATGTGTACATTTCAATCTCCAGACCCAATCCATCAATTTGATATTGAGTTGATTTGATAACTATTTTACAACCTTAAACATTAAAAAACTAAGATCTAACAAACTCTTCCAAACATTAAGAAACTAAGACTGTATTTAAAGTAATAAGCATAGAGAAGAAAAAAAACCATGTAAAATAACAGCTTCTGTACTTTTTCACAGGATCATATTGATGAAGTTCTGCCTTCGATGTACAAGGGACTAAAAATGATTGTTGCTGGCTTGTACGCGATCAGCAATGAGGGACTTAACGATAACATTATCTCCGACAAGTGTCTAAAAGAAAAAATCAACCAGACTATGCACGACGTCCGAGCAGTCCTCTGTTTGTTCAATGTAAGAATCATTCATAAGCATTACACAATATATATTCGTGTACTTATAATACAGATTTCTTCACTCATACGTTCAAATAAACAATACATTGACCGTGTTGTTTGCTTATTCACAGGATATAATGAAGTCAAGGAACTTGGAGATAATGCCACTACCGGACTCGGAAATTCCCGATTTTAAGACGGAGGACAAACTGTCCGTTGGTCTTCTCGTCTACAGGGACACCCTTAACTACTTGGAGTACCTGGCACAGGTGTTCCAGAAGATGTACGAGACGGCACCCAAGCAAGATTGAACCGATTGAACGGGACAGCTTTGGTCGTGCTAACTAGACATAAGATGTTAAGACCGCTAAATATTTTGCGGATCAGCTGCCAGTCGTTGCCCACAACGTTTGGGTCACCTACTTGAAATTGGTGCTTTTATTAATGACTTTGACGTAACAATTAAAGTTGCGTCACCGCGCTCAGTCTAGCCGGCTAGCTCAATACGATGAGCCACATCCTAGTAGAATTGTTCGCATCTTTGGCTGTTGATACGTAGTAGAAAAATGTATTTGCCATTACATTGCCATTTTGGTCTAGAACGAATTAGTTCCTTTATTATTTTTTGTGTGTAAATAGTGACGAATTTAATATGTATTATTTATTGTTTAACAGACAACATTCTAAATTTTCCGATATCCTAGTCAAGGTCTTAACTTATTTATTGCTCGATCTTTCTCCACTTTAGTTTCAATTACTTTGTAAAAGGTATTATTAATTTAAGGTTGTTTAGTATTAAATTTCATTCCACCAAACATGATCAATTGTTGTTCGAGTTTAGTAAATCATTAAGTTAGCTAATAATAGCATGAGCTCGATCTTGGTGAAATTTTTATACCTGACAAATATGTATCGTCTTGCGGCTTATATGTGACTACTACGCTTAGGGCTGCGATGACTTAATTTTTATTGTAAATTGTAATTCCTAGTTTCTTTAGTATTACTTGACTCTTTGTTAACTATTTATACTACTGTTACATAAATCCAATGAAATATGACTAGCTTTAATAGAGCTGTTAATTATATTATTGTAAAGTACAGAGCCAGTGTATTTATGACTTAATCATTATTTGTATAGTTCAAATAGTATTTATAACTGCAGCAAACATGCTCGCTATGTTTGCGAAATTAAATTATTATTACATTTAATTGACTTCATTTCTTTTTCTTTTATTTATCCTCCACCAATCCTAAATATCTCTAAAACTTTAATTGGCAATCCCGAAATGTACTACTACTACTAATTTATTAATAAACGTACTAGAAACTAATTAAGTTTTTAAAATTGTAACAAGAACCACAAAATATGTTAAATATTATACCACAACATTTATAGCAATAATCTCGTCACTTATTACGACGGTGCAAATAATTTGCTTATATGAAAAATATTAATAAAGGGACTTGTCACAAGTCATAACTATTGTAATTTTCCGAAACGAACGAGCTTTTATAAACTCTGCGTGCGTACTTTTGCACACAATTATTTACAGCTTTTACGCCTTTTTGACGAGCGCAGTCTAACAATGAGCACTCTACCCTAAGCCTGTTCCCATGAGTCGAGACTGGAAACAATTTCAAATCTTTACACAAGATATTCACAAAGCGACTCATATTTGCGTTGGTGACTTAGTCGACCCGACGAATTAGAGCGGTGGGCGACGGCTCTTCGGAAAATAGTAAAAAGAGTCTCGAAATTCCGACACCCATTAACATACATTCTACTTTAACATATGTCATTAAGAATCAAGTTTCTGTGATTTCTGTTTGTGGCAGCGCCGCTGTGGTGCTTCTGCAAGTCGTGCCAGCTTCGATCAAACGTGTGACCGCCGTATTGGTTTAATAAGTTACCTATGTTTACCCGTCGCCGGGAGTCCCCAAGGTGCTAAGTTGGTTTTGTCGATTAGTTGGAAGAGCCAAAAAGTGCATCCCGTTTGACCTCCTACCTAGATACATGTCAAAGTAAAAGAAAATGCGAACAAAACTTTGCGCTACACAAAACTTTTCTTTCGAACCGTTGTTGAAGTTTCCACTCCATGGCTAGACGATTTCCTTATAAAAAAAAAACAACAAGTCCAGACATTCGAATAATTTGAAACTTTTCACATCTTATGACAAGCGATGGCTATACGAGAAGAACCTAATGAACTGGCTTATCAGATTATAAAGATTATTGATTAAATTAAATTGTTATAGGTAATATTATAACATACTAAACGATTAGAAATATTTTAGAATTAGAATGAAGTGTTTAAGACCCGTGGCATTGACCTGGCACTCGCTTTTTAATTGGCATTAATATATGTATTACCTACAAAAGATAAAAGTTGCTAAAAGAATTAGTAAAATACGCCTCAAATTCATGAACTCTATCCTAAAATCGAAAAGAGCATTTACGTACGTAATAATAAAAACGCTCGGTTGAGCAAATGTTTCTGAATCCAAAAACCTGCTGGTTATTTTTAATACAGTAGCCCAATTCATAATGGGTGTTTTTTTTTTATAATTCTGCCACGTTTTAGTAAAAACGTCTCATGAAAAACTTAAATGTTTTATACATAAATGCTGAACTCGGGGGCGCAATTTCTAAGCTATTTGCTGAGGCGTCAAGAGTCGTGGGTTCGATTCCGACACGAGTCAAGTATTTGTGTGACCCACAGATAATTGTTCTGGGTGTGTGTTTCCCAAGGGGCTGTACAAAACCGCTTACAGCATGATTCATATGTTGTAGACCCCACTAGGTACGATAAGAGCAAGATGATGATGATGACATATATGCTCAATCTCTGTAATTCCTTTCAAAATTACTTTACAAAAACGTATGTATGTATGTTTGTATGTATGGATGGAATTTTGTTACTCTTTCACGCAAATACTGTTTAATGGATTTTAATTAAACTTTACATCAATATAGCTTATACATTTGAATAGGACATAGGCTACAATTTATATACATATTTTATGAATATCAATTACTGTCTGAATGTTACACCTACAGCCTATTCTACGCAGACGTAGTCGCGGGCAGCAGCTAGTAATAAAAAATTGTATGATAAAACTAAAATTCGCAAGAATAAAAGCTTATGACATTTGAATGAAATCTGTCTTCGCTGTACCAATATCCGGCGACTGTTCCATTCTTCACGCTCCAAGTTTTGCCTCAGTGCTGTTTCCTCGTCAATGTGAAATACATATTTGCATTTTAATAAGCAAAGCTTGTTGAGAATGACCTACCACATTGTTTATTTACCCAACTTCAATTGTAGGTATTGTGTAAATACGATGATGAAACATTTAGTAAAAAGGAACGTTTAACTATTCAATATAATTATGTTTTTTTACTTACGCAAATATTACACATTTTAAAAGATCCTTTTTGCGGATTTTATTAGGATTTATTTCTGATTTTAACTAACGGCGTTACGAATACTTTACATGATTCATGGTCACAGAACAAACTGAGAAATTTGAGGCCCTGATACCACTATTAATCATATCATCAGTAATTAGTAGTACTCATCGCTCTCTAATAGACCGGGCCAATACAAATCTTTGTCGTAAATAAACGAAAACCATTCAATCACTACACACTATAACAAAGTCGTCTCGGTGTCTATCTGTCCTTAGATCTTTAAAATGTGTATGTATGCTTAGATCTTTAAAACTACGCAATGAATCTTGATGCAGTTTTTTTTACTAACTAGAGTGATTCAAGAGGAAGGTTTATATGTATAATACATTGCACCCGTGTGAAGCCGGGGCGGGTGGCTAAAATAATTGGTGAGTACCTATAGCATATTGCAACTATTGCCTAGCAACCGCTTCGCATTTGTTATATGGGAGCCCCCTTAAATATTATTTTTATTTTATTCTCCTTTTTAGTATTTTTTGTCATAGGGGCAATAGAAATACATCATCTATGAAAATCTCAACTGCCTAACTTTCATGGTTCATGAGTCACAGCCGGACAGAGGGACAGACTGACAGACGGACAGGATCCCGTTTTACCCTTTAGGTACGGAACCCTAATAAAAGCACTCTTACTTTTAACCTGAGCCTATAAAGACTATAACACTCATATGTAAATTATCCAGGAACTTATAAAAACTTAAATGACAATTCATTTTACACTTTATTGATCACTCAACATTTTCCTTTGACGCTTAGCACGTGACAAACGTTGACGTACAGCATGTGGTAATGAGCACTTAAAGTAGCTTTTATCGATGTTAAGAAGTAGCCATTTCCGGCACCAAATTCACCGGATACCGGAACAATTGCCGGAATTTGATCTCGGAGTGTCCGTATCAAAGGGGAACGTCCGGACGTTGCCCGGTCTTTTACGGTAAACAACGTCACTGATGCTTACCATGTAAAGTAAGAACAAATAAGATCGCAGTGAGCATTGTGTAAAAAGCGGAGCGGGATTAACATAAAAATATATCAACCGGGCCAAATCAACTTGACAGCCATCAAAACCTGTACACTACAATTAATATTCCAAATTCTAATTAGCTTTTGATGCGAATATATTGCAGTCAATTAATTTCGATAATTCTCTTGAAATTAATTTAATGTTCAACGGTAAGACTTCATAACATTATATTTTGTTTTTCATTGGAACATTTACCTGAATAATCTCAATTCGAATTTTCTAACAACTATTACCGAAGCACAATAAAGTAGTTTATTTAATAGAGACATTCCATTTCAATTTTGCTTATTCAGCCGAAACTTTTGACGCATGAAAAACTAAACTTAGGTATGTCCTTTTCCGTCACCATCCCGACCCCGGTGGGCCTTCCTCAACCTTCTCCCACCTCCATCCTGTACTATATTAGTGATAAAGGATAAGTACGTAAAGTAAATTATCAGCCTATAGATGTCCCACTGCTGGGCAAAGGCCTCCTCTGTACAGAATGTATCAGGGCATAAATAGTCTACCACGCGGCTCCACTGTGAATTGGCAGACTTAACATAACTTTTTTTTAATTTTTATTTCGAAAATATTATGCAGATTTCATCACGTTGTTTTCTCTCGCCGCTGGACACTTGAATTCAGCACTTAAAATTAACAATTTCATTGGTGCTGGCGCCGGGGATCGAACTCAGGTTGCTCGATTATATTGAATTAAAGGCGAGCGCCCGGACACTGAGCTATCGCGGCTCTCTAAAGATACGTGCAAAAAAGAAATTGCTCTCATGCACTCGGCGCGGCCGATAATGAACCATCCGTCCACTGAAGGTC